CAATGTTTATCAAAATTAATTCAGATCAAGATGCTCTCCTGTCTATCACCTTTATCAAAATTAAATATGATACAATATTGCCTTTAATACCCTGTTTTTTCTAAGCGTTGTAAATAATCACTAATAATATAGCTAATATTCACACGGTAATAAAAATAGCACGGTCAGATCGCACCTTTCCTTAAATACCTATTGTTTACTCAGCTATGTAATAATGACACAGTCAAATCACACCTTACTTTTTCCCACCCTTACCATCTCATCCCTTATCTCTCTTCACTCCTTACCTTCCCCCCTCCCTTACCTTCCCAAACTCCCTTTCGCCCTTATCTCTCCACACCCTTTACCTTCCCCCCTTACCTTCTCATCCCTTACCTTTCCCCCTCCCTTACCTTCCCCAACTCCCTTTCGCCATTATCTCCTTCACACCCTTTACCTTCCCCCCATTATCTTCCTCTCCTTTATCTCCCCCTACTCCCCCTTCATCTAACCCATTCCCCAACTTCACCCAAACCTCCCTCCCTTCCCAGAATTAAAAAAAAAATACAGCTTGTATACTCATTATTCATGTTCACTCCATGTTTCTGTGTTCTTTGTCATATTCTTCATGTTTTGCAAATGTTCATCACAAGTTCTCTGTACAACTTTTATACCCACTATTCATGTTTTCTGCTCATTCAAATCATATTTTCACCTGTTTGTCCATGTTTTCCATTTTCTCATAATGTTCTTAGCATGTTCAGTTTATATTTTTCACCTCTCTTCTATGTTCACTGTGTTCTCTGTCATGTTTTCATGTTCATCTCATAAACAGTAAAAAAAATAGCAAAAAAGTTTTTTACTACTTTTACATAAGTAGTTAAAAAAGAAAATAGTGTTACCGAGTTTCAGGGGGATAGGACTCTTAGTATTGAATCTACGACAGGGAACTAAGGCGGAGACATGAGCTAGAGTTCGGTAATTGTTTGGATTTATTGTACTACGTCTGAAATATGACTGTTTAAAATTGGGCTATTAGTAACGAAACTATACTTATAAATGCAATATCTGTTAAATTTTGGTCTTAATGGTCTCTGTCACATTTTGGTCTTTAACTGTAAATGTATTCAGTAACTCTGAATATTTACGGGCTCAAAGTGGACTCTGACGGATTTTGGGCTTAAACTGGACCCGACAAATTTTCGGTCTTTTAGTGGACTCTGATGAATTTTGGTCTCAGTTTGGACTCTGAATATTTTTGGGCTCAAACTGGACTCTGTCATATTTTTGGTATTAAATGGTCTCTGAAATTATTTCGGTTCTTCAAAATGGTCTCTGAAATTATTTGGCCTTTACTGGACTCTTAACGAATTTTGGTCTCAAAGTGGACTCTGGCTAATTTTTGGTCTTTTACTGGTCTCTGTCATATTTTTGGTCTTAAATGGTTTCTGATGAATTTTGGGCATAAATTGGACTCTGACTAATTTTCGGTCTTTTACTGGACTCTGACGAATTTTGGTCTTCAAACAGACTTTGATAATATTTGAATTTTCTCCATATGAACTCTTTAAGAATTCAGTGGTGATTTTTGGTCTTAAATGGTCTCTGTCAATTTCAGGTCTATTTCCGCCTTCTAATGGACTCTGATGAAAATGGTCTCTGATGAAATTTGGTCTTAAACTTGTCAATAAACTTCTATGATTATATGAACTGTGAAATCTATGTAAATAAAAATGTAAATGTTTGTTTGTTCAAAATCGCTAATCTCCGAAAGTTCTTCACCGATTGCTTTGAAATTTTTACAAAAAAGTTCCATTCGCATCCGAGCAGGTTTTTATATACATACTATATAGATGTCACGTCTGTGATGGGTAAAAACATGCTTTTTTTGAAAAACTGTTTTTTTTCATGTGTAGGAAATCTTCAAAACCTCTTTAGTGATTGCTTTGAAATTTTGACACAACGTTGCATTCAAATAAGTGCGTGTTTTTATATATCTACTTTATACATGCCTGACCTGTAACAGGGAAAATACACGCATTTAAAAAAAAAAAACAGCGTTATCTGTTGGACTTAAGAGCAACACACATTGTAATCTTTGAAAATTCTTCACCAATTGCTTAAAAATTTTGACACAACGGACTATTCGAATACGCTTATATTTTTATATAACTACTATATAGATTCCACACCTGTGACAGGTAAAAACATTTTTTTTTTTTTAAACAGCGCTATCTGTGGCATGTAATAGCAACACACACTTTGCTAGATATGTTACGATTCCATTTTAATGTTTCCGATTGCATTCATAAATTGATTTTTCATAGATTTCGATTTTTTTCATTTTGATTTAATTATTTTGTGTGACATTGCATTGGAATTGAGCTGTGTTGTTTACCATATCATTCACTTCGTGAGTATAAGTATACATGCCACACCCGTGCCAGGTAAAAACATTATGTTTTTAGGAAACAGCGACATCTGTTGCACGTAAGAGCAATGCACTCTATACTAGATACATTACGATTCCATTTCAATGTTTCCAGTTACATTGACAAATTAAATTTTCATAGATTTCGATTTATTTTCATTTTGATTTAATTATTCTGTGTAACTTTGCATTGGAATTGAGCTGTTTTGCTTACCATACTGTTTATTTCGTGAGAATAAGTATAGATGCCACTCCTGTGACTGGTAAGTGCATGCTCTTTTTGAAAAACAGTGCCGTCTGTTAAACGTAGGAGCAACAGACGCTATACTAAATATGTTACGATTCCATTTCAATGTTTCAGATTTTGTTGATAAATTGAATTTTCACAATTTAGATATACTTTCATTTTGATTTAATTATTTTATGTGACAATGCATTGGAATTGAGCTGTGTTGTTTACCATTCCATTCATTTCGTGAGTTTTGTTTATTTATGTTTTCATTTTTTTCATTTCGTTTTTTAACTGTTTTTCTTATATTTCAATGATGGGAACATCAGATCATTTGATGTTCCCAATTTTCTGATGGGAACATCAGATCATTTGGGAATGTATCGGACAAGGGAGTGGGGAATGGTGGGGAGGACGAGGGGACAGGATTGGGAGATGGTGGTGAGGACGAGTGGATAGGGGAGGGGGGGTAATGGTGGGGAGGACGAGGGCATGGGGGAGTTGGGGATGGTAGGGACGAGGGGACAGGGTAAATGGAGAATGGTAGGGAGGACAAGGGGACAGGGTAGTGGGGCAAGGTGGGGAGGATGAGGGGGACGAAGGAGAGGGGAATGCTAGGGAGGATGAGGGGACGGGGGAGTGGGAGATGGTGGGGAGGACGAGGGGGACAGTGGAGTTGGGAATGGTTAGGAGGATGAGGGGGACGGTAAAGTGGGGAATGGTGGGGAGGAGAAAGGGATGAGGGTGGGGGATGGTTTGGGAGGACGAGGGGACGGGGGAGTGTGGAATGGTTGGGAGGACAAGGGGATTGGAGAGGGGGGGATGGTGGGGAGGACTGGGTGACAGGGAAAGGTTGCTGTGGCTCAGCATCGCACATGCATTGCTGAGCCACAGCAACGCGTGGCCGGGTACAGCTAGTATTTTCATAAAACTGAACTCTGAAAATTCTTGAATTTCTTCCATAAGAACTCTTTAAGAATGTATGAGTGATTTTTTGTCTGAATTTTTCTCATAAGAAACCTGTAAGAACGTACGAGTGATTTTGAAAAAAAAAATGACTGTAGAGTTTATTCTCAGTAAGACGGGAGTGGACTTTTCCCTTAAATTTTTCTGTAACATACTTCTATGAACTCTGAAATTATTTTCGGTTTGAATTTTCCCCATAAGAATTCTTTAACTCCAAATTGGAAACTTAGAAATTTATCAGGAGACCTGAAGCGCCAGCATTAACTGGAAAAAAGTTATCAGGAAACCCGACACTCCAGCTGAAACTGGAAAATTTATCAGGAATCCCGAGGCGCCAGATGAAACTGGAAAAAAGAATCATCAGGAAATCCAACACTCCAACAGTAACTGAAAAATTTGTAAGGAAAACCGAAGACCCAGCTAAAACTGGACTGGAAAAATCTCAGTTTTACGCGGAGCATCATCCCTACTACTGACAACAACATCTCTCTCTCTAGGTGATTAACAATGCACAAGCAACAGGGCTCCATCATGGAGCATATAATCTCTTCACACAACCAGACCATCACCAGAGACATCTTAACAAACCGAAACAATCAACAGGTATAACAACAACAGAAGACTGGACATCAGCGAGGCCCAACACATCAAAAAGTCAATACCAGTTAACACATAATTACATTTTATCTAATTCAAGACCCCAAACCAACACAGAGACAGTAGAAGCATGAACATAAGCTGATTGTGTTCATGCTTGTAATAGCCTATTAATATCCATTCATCCACGTGTTCGTCTCCATCACATTCTGTATCACCTCATTCCAAGAGAATATAAGCTCTTGCTAAAGCATTGCATATATGTCTTTGAAAAAGTATGGAGTGCCTTGCGAAACGCATCCCTAGGCGTCAGACCATAATAAATTGTGAAAATGAACTTTGGAGAGTTATTTTTTCAACTTCCCTCGACAGTGAAGAAAAACGTAAGAAATATTGAGAAGATTCGTGTTAGAATCATTAATCTTACCCATTCGGTCATATTCAACAACATATGTTTGCAAGAAAGATTGCTACCAAAATATACTAATATTATCTATCTATATATATATATATATATATATATATATATATATATATATATATATATATATATATATATATATATATATATATATATATATATATAACAGACTGATAGTAGTAGAATTGTAAAACTGGAAGAAAATTCCACTCCCACTGATATTTAATTGAGCATAGAAGGTTTCATGTTATCTACTTTTCCAATGTTCTCTTTCTCTGTTTGTTACGTTATTCTGGGATACTTTTAACGTCAGTATATGTCCTGTGAGCAAATTATTAGTGTACATGAATTTAATATATCTGATTTTTATATTTCAGATTTCAAGATGTGGGAACCACAAAGTTGCTGTTGCTTCAGGTTACGGACTGGAAGTATTATTATTGGATTTCTGTCCTTGGTAAGAACAACTTGTAGTTCTCTTGACAAGGTGATCCTCGACAAGACAAGGTGTGAGATTACTGCCTACTGGGGATGGCATTAATACACGTGACCTCAGTCAGAAAGGACTGCACTGACAGCAAACGAGTGCTGTAATGACAGCTTATTACTTTAAGACTGACGTAGGTGGCGTAGAGCCGCCGCCGGAGTCCAAATCCCTGGCACTCTATGATCCACTGGGTCGTGGAGCTTCTGTAACTGCTGAGGGCAGATGTCAGAGTACCTCTAGTGGGTCTCACACCAAAGTATTTATATTGGTGTGTGGCTATGAAATTGGCTTGAGTTCAAGTATCCAGAGCAACATGTATGTTTCACTTCAAAACGTAAGACAGAGTTAATCAATGGGGAACAAGGGTCTTAGAAGGTGTGAACGGAAAGGCACTTGTAGTTCAACCAATGATATTTATTCATAAAACTTATTAATAACAATCCAAGTACACAATAACTTAACGTTACGTTAAAGTTCACACTGGCACTCTGTCAATACTATCCAAGCCGGTATAATCGGACTTCTGGTTCAGACCGCTTGCGGTTCCAACATTAACTAAACTGAAACAGTGGGCGACCACTCAGTTGGTCAAGTTGCAGTTTGTAACGACTGCGGCAAAACAATATAATAACAACAACAATTAAAACACAACAGACAGGCCTGTCACTCCAACCCGTCCTCTTAAAAATAACGCCCAACCTCCATACAACACCCAGTTAATTACGATGAAGGTCGTCTTTCGGACGGCAATCAAAGCAATCAATTACGTTACAACACTATGACAAACACAAGACAATTGATCTAAGCAATTTCAATCAAAACAAATCTCAACAAATTTACGTTTATTAGCAACACTAATTACGTTAATTACTGTCACCTGGACAGTCAAACAAAAGCAAGGTAATTTACGTTAATTACAATCTGTCAACACAGTCAAACAACCAAACAAGGCATAGCGCCGTAAAACAGCCAAACACCTGGTAATTAGCAATCACTGAGTAACTGCACTAATTACTGTCAAAACTAACAGCCAATTAACTCACAAAGAATTATGTTAGCACTTAGCTGATCACTGAGATCGCTTTACGAACACCGATTAGTCAACACGTTGCTAATTACCTCACTCTACTAATGATGGTAATTAATTACACTAATTACAATATCACTGACTGCGCTTAAATGAACACAAATCAACACACCACTCAGTCACATAGACCAACACAATACAGTAGCAAATACAGTGCTCAACCACAGCACTGAATAACATAACATAACACTGTCACAAAATAAATGACCAATAATAAAACACAGAAATAAAGGAGTAAAACACCCTCTCTTACTTTTTATAACAGCTTGTCGTCTGGAACGAAAGAAAAGAAAGACAACACGGAAATGATTATACAAAGAGTGATGGTATAAATTAAACCACACTAAATATTACCCACAATTAATATAAACACGCAAATACTAAATGTGTAACAAAGTGAAAGATTACAAATACTCTCAGGTCAGTATTACAGTTAACACACAGACTAGCTATAACTGCCTGTACCTATTGTGCTTTCCCGATTGTGTATCTTCCCGTTGTGGGATTACAAAGAAACAACAGGCCGTTAGGCTGGCTAACTCAGCACAAAGGAATAATGCACTTCAGACAACAAATACAGAAATTTAATTATTTGAGTACTCACTTTGAAAATACCGGTATACATTCATCACACTCTACCACGCTCACTAGGATTCCGCTGTTGACTGAAGATTGAACACCACACAGGCAGCCCGTGGTAGGAGGTCCTCGTGCACAGGGACCACTGGTGGAGGGTGAGGTGGGGTGGAGGTGGCGAGCGGGTGAGGTAGCAAGCCACCAGGCCACAAGGGTGAGAATTCTTTGCCCCCCCCCCGCCCCCCCACCCAAAGATAGAGGGTGGAGGCAGGGGGTGCATTTTAGAGCGCACTTGGGGTGAGAATTTGAGCAGCGTGATCTGCTGGTGAAACACTGGTGGAACAAGATGAACACCACGTGATAAAAACACGGGGTCGACAGCACAATGGACGAAATAAAAGGATCTGGAGATGTGGGTATGCAGAGTACACACCGTCCACAATCAATTTTACGTTAATTCACTCAGAATTTTGAACTCAACCATTGGGAATCGTATTCCTAGATTCTTTGCACACAGTTTACTTAGCGATATGGTGACAGATCGGTAGGTTACAGGGAATTTATTAGGTAGTGCTTCGTTTTTATCTTAAACTGGTTGAGAGAGGTACTGTCTTTAACATAGTTGGGAAGATCATTCCACATTCTGGGTCCCTTGATTTGAAGAGCATTTCTAGTATGATTAAGTCGTACTCTAGGAATATCAAAACTGTATTTATTTCTGGTGTGGTGCTCATGGGTTCTGTGACAACCTACAATGAATCTTTTGAGGTCAGGATTGGCATTACAGTTCAGCGTTTTATATATGTATAATACACATGAGAGAATGTGCAATGACTTAATATCTAACATATTCAGAGATTTGAGTAGGGGTCCCGAGTGATGTCTGGGGCTAGAGTTGGATATTGTCCTAATAGCAGCTTTGTGTTGAGTAATTAGAGGACGTAAGTGATTTTGGGTAGTAGAGCCCCAAGCACAAATACCATAGTTGAGATATGGATAGATAAGGGAGTAATAGAGAGTCACCAGGGCAGGGCGTGGTACATAATATCTGATCTTAGAAAGAATGCCAGCAGTTTTTGAAACTTTTTTGATATATTTAGAATGTGTCCCTGGAAATTCAGCTTGTGGTCAATGAGAATGCCAAGGAATTTGCCATCTAATTTGTTACAAATTTGGGTATTGTTTATTTTGAGATTTATTTGATTAGAGGATTTATTGCCAAACAGAATATAGAAAGTTTTGTCAATGTTAAGGGTGAGTTTGTTGGCAGTTAGCCAAAGATGGACTTTATTTAGCTCAGTATTTACTGTGGCATTTAGAGCAAGGGGGTCAGGACTGGAGTAAATGAAGGTTGTGTCGTCAGCAAATAGAATTGGTTTGAGGTGTTGGGAGGCATTTGGAAGGTCATTAATGTAGATGAGAAAGAGGAGAGGGCCAAGTATGCTGCCCTGAGGAACACCAATGTTGATGGGTAGGGTGGGAGAAATTGTATTATTCACAGAAACATACTGGAGCCTGTCAGTAAGGTAGGATTTGAGGTATTGCAGGGAGTGTCCTCTGACTCCATAATGATGTAGTTTAAGAAGAAGGTTTTGGTGGTTGACAGTGTCAAAAGCTTTACGCAGGTCCACAAATAACCCAACAGGGAAATCATTTTTCTCAAGAGCTGTATGAATCGAGTTAAGCATACTAATAAGTGCATCGTTAGTGCTTTTTTTGGGTCTGAAGCCATATTGGCAAGGGCTAAGTATATTGTGTTTGGCTAGATATGAGTAAAGCTGCTTATAGATTAGTTTTTCAAAAATTGTTGACAAGTTTGGCAGGATTGATATAGGTCTGTAGTTGTTAACATCTGTGAGATCACCACATTTGTGGACAGGCGTTACTGTCGCTTTTTTTAGAATATCTGGAAAGGTTTGGAGTTCAAGTGACTTGTTGAAGAGCAAAGCAATAGCAGGGGCTAAAGATCTGGAGGCTTTTTTGTAAATTAAAGTTGGTATCTCCTCAAGGGAACTAGACTTGGTTTTAAGGGAAAGGATTATCTCATTGACGTCAGTGGAATTAATAGGCTTTAGGTACAGAGACTGTGGATAGTTACCTGTAAGATAGTCCTTGGTGTACATGATCAGAGGCATTGTCATCTAGGATCAAGATGTATAATGAATCTATAGTGATACTGATATGATTTTGATATGATATAGAAATATTATATTTCTTAGATATATTTCTTATATTGATATAGTGGGTAAAATTTTCCTACATCTTCCGGAGTGAGAGAACTGGCACAGAGTCCAATACTAAGGACAATAGTAACCATATGTATTCATTTACTCTCCATCAGATTGATAATTTAAGTGACATTTTGCTTGCACTTTTGAATTGCTGTCCGTTGTGGATGATTGTGTAGGAGTTGTGGGTCAAGTGGAGTTAGAGGGTCTGGTGGTCTCTCAGGATCTAACTGCAGCTGACTCACTGATTCCATGTGAAAGTTTGTGCAATGTTTTCAGGGAAGTTGTTCCCTTAGACAGGATTTTGACTATTCTTAAAATCCCTGGCTATCTGGATGGACTGAGACAACTTGACCCAATGGCCAGTCAGCCCTAGGGACATCACTGTCTACCAAGACAATATCGCCAGGTTGGAGATTAGATATATTAGTGGGACATTGCCCCATAATGTTCTCGTAGAGATGTAAGATATACTTTTGTCCAGACATTCTATTTTTGGATTATGCAGGACAGATGCTATACCCCTGAACCAACTCGCTCTGACCCACATATGAGGGATCTCTGATCTCATCATCCACTAGAGATGGTACTGGAGTCTGAAGTCTTTCATACATTAGGTGGGCAGGACTTAATGGCTAATGTTGAGTAGGATCATCAAACAAGTAAGTCAACGGCCGGTTATTCACCCTTGATTCTATTTCCGTGATTACTGTCTGGAGTTCATGATGATTGATTTTCTGACGGTGTAGTGATTTTCTCGAGGATCTTTTGACAGTTCCTATTAACCGTTCATAAAATCCTCCGTGCCATGGGGGGCTCTTGGAGGGATAAATTTCCATCTGCTATGACGCTGTTCTAGTGTGGAAGTAACTGCAGGATGGAAACAGATTTCCCGTAGACATGCTTCTCCAGCTACCAAGTTTGCTCCGTTGTCTGAAATCATCAGTTTAGGGCATGATCGGCGTGCTGCAAATCTGCGGAAAGCTTGAATAAATGATTGAGCAGTCATATCGGGTGTTACCTCTAGATGTACTGCCCTGGTGGTAGCACAGGTGAACAGACAGATGTATGCCTTGATA